ACACCAGAAAGGCACAGCGGCAGAGACCTAAAAGCAAAGAAATACATAGAGGCACAGAGAGTTCTGGAGATGCGGGAGGACCCAGGGAGACAGCGTGGAGGGATGCTTGCGCCCAGGGATTCATTCCCACTCCAGATAAACCCCTGGCTACTGTGACTCTGGACAGGTCGCTCACCTTCCTGAGCCTCAGTTTTCTCATCTGAAGACTGGGATAATGACGTAATTCCACGTAGTAGTGTGTTCCGCCTGCTGCAGCCAAGGGGCGCCTGTGAGCACCTGACTCAAGGCTCCCACCTGCCGGAGGTGAAAGCCCACATCCTCTCCGCTGCCCACAAGGCCCTGCACGACCTGCCCCGTCCCCTCCGCCCCCTCCCCCTCACTCACTCTGCTCCCGCCACAGGGGTCTCTTGGCTGTTCCTCCCCCAGGCCAGGCACGGGGGCCTTCGCAGTGGCTGCTCCCTCTGCCCAGAAAACCCTCCTCCTCCAAATATCCTCCCCGCTTGCCCCCTTCCCATCTTCGAGGCTTTGTTAATGCCCCAATTTTACAGCGAGGCCTCCCAGAGCACCGCCCCCTTCTACCATCTTCTTTTGCCATCCTGTAAATTGGATTAATTTGTTTGTTAATCGCCCTCTGCGCCAACCTCCACGGAACCTAAATTCCCTACGGGAAGGGTTTTATGTTTTTGTTCAGGGACCTTATCTCCTGAACCCAACAAAGTGCTTGGCATATAGTAGGGCTTAACAAAAACTTACTGGAAGAAGGGATGGGGGGAGGGAGAAAGGAAGGAGGGGAGTGGAATGTCACCAGGAGAGCATTATCCAGTTACCCCGATTTCCAGGAGAAGCCGGAAACCCATATTTGCATGGGATGTCTCCTGATGTCCGTTGGCAACACTGGCAATAATATGGGTACATGAAATTGCTATTTGTGTAAGTCAAAATGTCAAATGCAGGCACTTACGTGTGGCTTAGCACAAATCAAATGCTCGCTCAGGGTGCGGTGCAAAAGTAGGTAGTGAGTACTAGTTATTATTAATATTCGGGGGGCACCGATACCAATGAGCTCCTGCCTACAGGAACCATGTCTCAAGCCAGTAAAGTAGGGGCTATGTTTTTCTCCTGTTTTTAGAGGTGCACGTTGAGCACAGAGAGGTTAAGTAACTTGAACAAGGTCACACAGCTTATAGGTAGCACAGTTGGGATTTGAACTGAGGCTGACTGATTCGGGTCCATGTTTTTAACCACTGCCTCTGTCAACATGACACAAAGAGTGTCCAGACGCAGAGAGAAATTTAGCGGCCTGGTCTCTGAAGAGCCACACCTCTCCCTGTCTCCCCACAGACACCCGAAGGCGTTCCCATCAAGCGGGAACCCCTGTCTTCTCAAAACCAGATTGGCATCTTGCCCTTGTCTTGGAATATTCCGGAGCTGGTCAAGTATGTCAGGAGGGGTGCAGGGCTCCCCTATTCCGGGAGGACAGGGGCGCTGCCCGGCTAGCCTGCTCACTCACCTGCATTCCCCACAGCATGGGGCAGTGGAAGATCCGAGCCTACTATGAAGATTCGCCACAGCAGGTCTTCTCCGCGGAGTTTGAGGTGAAGGAGTACGGTAAGAGGAGTGGGGAGCCAGGGCGGGGGGCCCCCCACACTGGACCCCACGCCGGCCCCCAACCGGCGCCATCTCTCCTTCAGTGCTGCCCAGTTTTGAGGTCCAAGTGGAGCCTGAAGAGAAATTCTACTACATCGATGACCCAAAGGGCCTGGAGGTCACCATCACGGCCAGGTGAGGGGAGAGAGGTGGGGCGAGATGAGAGGTCAGCTGAGGGCCAGGTGAGGGGCCAGGCGAGGGACCAAGGGAGGGGTCAGATGGGGACCAGGTGAGGGGCTAGGCGAAGGCCAGGTGAAGGACCAGGTGAGCACTAGGTCAGGGTGAGACGAGGGGCCGGGGGCTCCGGGTCCTCACATGGCCAGTGGAAGTTTGGGGATACACTCAGATTTTCCACGGGGGAGAATCTGAGCCTCTCCTCACCGCACAGGTTCTTGTATGGGAAGAATGTGGATGGAACGGCCTTTGTCATCTTTGGGATCCAGGACGGTGACCAGAGGATTTCGCTGCCCCAGTCCCTCACCCGCGTTGTGGTACTTGCCAGAGGCCTCCCTGAGCCTCCTCCACTCTGAAGGCCTCCTTCTCCCTCTCTGAGTCCCCTCCCCACCGGAACCCCTCCCCCTGGCTGAGACTCTCGTTTCCTCCTCCAGTTAGAGGATGGCACGGGGGAGGCCACACTGAGCCGAGAGGTGCTTCTGGAAGGGGTGCAGCTCTCCAGAGACAGTGACCTGGTGGGCAAGTCCTTGTACGTGTCCGTCACCGTCATCCTACACTCAGGTGAGGCCTGCCCTGAGGGCAGAGGCCCAGTGCCACCACATGGTCCAGTCTGTGGGGGGACACCCAGTCTGAAGGAGGGGGCCCAGAATGAAGGTGGGGTTCAGTCTGACGGGGGAGGCCCAGTCTGACAGGGGAGGCCCAGACGAAGGCGGAGACCCAGTCTGAGGAGGGAGGCCCAGCATGAAGGCAGGGTCCAGCCTGAGGGGCGGCCCTAGAGCCTGCCCTCACGGCTGCCCCCTGCCCCCCGAAGGCAGCGACATGGTGGAGGCGGAACGCTCTGGGATCCCCATCGTGACTTCCCCCTACCAGATCCACTTCACCAAGACCTCCAGGTTCTTCAAGCCCGCCATGCCCTTCGACCTCATGGTGAGACACCCCTTACTCTGCTCCTGAGCTCTGGCCACCCTCTGGGTCTACTGGACCCCCTTCACCTGCCCCTGCACCCACAGGTGTTCGTCACGAACCCGGACGGCTCCCCGGCCAGCCGCGTCCCCGTGGCAACTCAGGACTCCCTGGACGTGCAGTCCCTGACCCAGGATGACGGTGTGGCCAAGTTAATCATCAACACACACAAAGACCGGAAGCCGCTGGACATCACCGTGAGTCTGCACCTGCCATGGGACCTCACACCGGGGAACCGGGGGACTTTATTTGTACAGTGAGGTCCTGACGTTTCTACAAAGGGATCCTGTCCTGTGCATAGTGGGGTCCCTCATTCTCATACAGGGGCCTCGCCATTCACATAGAGGTGTTTCATTTGCACAGAGGGGTTCTTGTCCACACGAGGGAGTACTGCCATCTGCATATATGTCTTATAAGGATCCTGTGATGACATTGGACCCACCTGAATAATCCAAAATAGTCTCCCTGTCTCCAGATCCTTAACTCAATCCCATCTGCAAAGTCCCTCTTGTCACGTAAGGTCCCATATTCCCAGGTCCCAGGGATTAGGATGGGAACATCTTGTGTGTGGGGGGGGGGGTGGCGGGCAACATGCATCCCTCTCTCCCCGCCCAGGTACGCACCATGAAGGAGGGCATTCCGAAGGCACGACAGGCCACCAACACCATGCAGGCCCTGCCCTACAACACCATGGGCAACTCCAACAACTTCCTGCATCTGTCCGTGCCCCGCGTGGAGCTGAAGCCAGGGGACACGCTCAACGTCAACTTCCACCTGCGAACGGACCCCGGCCTGGATGCCAAGATTGGCTACTACACCTACCTGGTCTGTGGCTTCCTGGAACCCCCAGGCCCCCCTCCTCCTCGCTTCCCCAGCACCCCCAGAGCCCTCCCCCATCCTGCATCCCCCACCCCTCCCTCCTGCCACCCCGATCCTGATGCCAGCCTGTCCCCCGCAGATCATGAACAAGGGGAAGGTGTTGAAGGTGGGACGCCAGAAGCGAGATGCTGGCCAGACCCTGGTGGTGCTGCCTCTGACCATCACCACGGACTTCATTCCTTCCTTCCGCCTGGTGGCCTATTACACAATGATGGGCACCAACGGCCAGAGGGAGGTGGTGGCTGATTCCGTGTGGGTGGACGTCAAGGACATGTGTGTGGGCACGGTGAGCGTCCCTGGGTCTCGCTGTGTCCATCTCAGGACTCTTTCTCTGTCTCCGCCTCTCTCCAAGCTTTCGAAGCCGTTTCTCTCCGTCGCTCGCGGAGCTCCTGTGTCTTCCCCTTCTCCTTCCCGTCTTCTCTGTCCGTTTTGGTCTCAGTACCTCCCTCGCTCCCAGGCCTCTCCCCTCCCTTGACTTTCTGCTCGATGCTGTTTCCACGCTTCTCCCTTCTCCCCTCCCTGCTGCCGCCTTTCCCTCCTTCCAGACCAGCCCAGGACGCCCTCTGTCCTTGGCTGACCAAGGCTGGGGTCTCCCGGGACTGACTTCTCCCTCTCCCCTCTCCCCACTCCCCACAGTTGGTGGTAAAAAGTGGCAGGAAGGAAGGAAAGCCCCATGTACCTGGACAGCAGATGGCCCTCAGGATCGAGGGCAACCAGGGGGCCCGGGTGGGGCTGGTGGCCGTGGACAAAGGCGTGTTCGTGCTGAATAAGAAGAACAAGTTGACTCAGAGTAAGGTGCGCCCCCATGTCGCTGAGGTGGTGAGAGGTGGCGGAGGCAACGGGGTGGCGGCGGGTGCAGGGATGGCACTGGGGAGCATCGACCACGTGGGGTCGGGTGGGAGTGGAGCGCAGAGGTCAAAATGGACACAGGTGTGGGCATGGGTTGAAGTTCAGGCTGCAGATGGAAACGTGGGCGGACAGGGTCCAGGCTGGAGGTGGTCGTGGCAATGGGCACGGGCTTGGGTCCAGCAACTGCGCACTCCGGATGGCCCACCGCGGACAGCCTGGGGTGTGCTGGCGAGTTGCCGCAGGCGCCGCGGGACTGGCGTCAGCCGGCCTTGACCACCCCGCGCCCCGCAGATCTGGGACATGGTGGAGAAGGCGGACATAGGCTGCACGCCAGGCAGCGGGAAGGACTATGCGGGTGTCTTCAAGGACGCGGGGCTGGCCTTCCAGACGAACAAAGGCCTGATGACTGACCAGAGGGCAGGTGAGGAGGGGGACAGCAGACGTCCAGGGTGGGGCTGCGCTTCCACCTCCCAGATGGCATCAGGGCGCCCCGGGCTCAAGTCCTGCCCCCACCACTATTGAGCAAATCACTCTCCTCTCCGAGCCTCAGTTTCCCCTGTTAAATCGGAGGGCTAACACTCCGGCCCGGCGGCCGCTGCGGGCAGTGAACGATGGGCATGCAGTAGGTGCTTAATCCGTCTCATTCCCGGTCCACCTGCCCCTCAGATGCCGAGTGCCCGAAGCCCGCCGTCCGGCGACGCCGCTCGGTGCAGCTCATGGAGAAGCGGAAGGACAAAGGTGGGCGCCCCCGCCCTCGAACCTCGTCCGTCCCGGACCCCAGCCAAAGCAGCGGGAGGGGAAGGGCCGGGTTTGGGGGGGCTCTCCCCGCGGATGTGTGCTGCTTCGGCCCCCCGCGCCTCGCCGAGGGCGTGACCGGCTCTGCGCCCCCACAGCGGGCGAGTACAAGGACAAGGAGCTGCGCAGGTGCTGTGAGGACGGCATGCGGGACAACCCCATGAAGTTCCCGTGCCAGCGCCGGGCGCAGTTCATCCTGCAAGGCCAGGCCTGCGTGGCCGCCTTCCTCGACTGCTGCGAGCACATCACCCGTCTGCGGCTCCAGCTCAGCCACGACGGCGCCCTGGATCTGGCCAGGAGTAAGTCCCCGGTGGCGGGGGCGCGGGACCCCCGAGTCTGTGTGTGGCGGGGTGGGGGCGGGGCTCCCTGTCATTGGGGACTGGAAATTGAGAGAAACTATGTCATCAGTCGCAGGATGAAAAGTCACAGAAAAGAATGTTTTTGCTTAAAAACTAAGGAAACTTTCATAGTGGCAGGCTGGCAAAACAACACACACACACACACACACACACACACACACACATCATCTTTATTTCTCTTTAAACATTCTCCACTTACAGAAAAACTGTCGTGCAGATTGAGAACCGTTTTCCCCTTGAACTGTTTGGTGCCCTGACTCCTAAACAGCTTAGTGTGGATTTTCTGGAAACAGAGATATTCTCCTAAAAACCACAGCGCAGTCATCGGAATTAGGATGTCAGCGTTGAGTCATTCCCACTGTCTAATCCACAGCCCTCGCTCAAGTTTTCCCACTTTTTTTGTTGTTGTTGTTTCTTTGGTTTTTTGTTCGTTTGTTTCAGGTTTTAGTACTTGATAGGAAAAGGATCCAGCTCAGAATCACACATGGCATTTGTGTGTCCTGTGTCCTCCCTGCATCTGTCCGACCCCTGGTAGCTCCTCAGTCTTCCTATGACTTTCGCGTTCTTGACATATAAGAACATACAGGCCGGGCGTTTTGAGGGTTGTCTGGCAACTCGGGTCTGACGGTTCTTCATGATCGCATTTAGGTTTTGCGTTTTGGCAGGATTGTCGCAGTAGACAGGTTGTGTCCTCCTTGGTGCTTCACATCAGGAGGCACGTGACACTGTTTTGTCCCATTATCAGGGATGGGAGGCTTGGTCCCTTGATTAAGCTGGTGTCTGCCACCCATTGTAGAGTTCCTTTTTTAAACTTCTTTTAAAATTTAAGTCAAGATGATTTCCCCAAAGATCAATTTTCACTTAGCCTGTAACATAAGTTATAGATGGATGCCTTATATGGTAACACGTAATTTTTGTGCACAAGTGTGCTTTTTGGAGGAGCGGAGGCAGACTTAGAAATAAGTAGCCACCTCTCAAGGATAGCTGTTGCCAAAGTGGACAAATATTTCTCGGTCCTTCCAGCTGGAAAGATAGCAGCACCCCCTTCACCCCCACCCAGCCTCAAAAGATGCAAAGATTCCCAACACGCATGAGCAAAGGACTTTAATCGCTTTGCAAATGATAATGACTAGGCATGTTGCTTTCTACTCCAGTGACATAGAGACCATTACAAAGAGGAGACAGGGCTACTGAGGAAGTCAGACAAGACAGTGGGCTGCTGGGACACGGTTTTCAGTACTGTGTATTTTGTCCCACCAGTTGGCGGTGAGACAGAGGGTTGCTGTGATGTCGGCACCCCGAAGGTGCTTTGATGGGTTACTCCGGAGCACGAGTAGGTTCGGGCATCCCACCCACTTAGATGTCAGACCCAAAGCCAGGCTACAATCTGCCATCGTTTGTGTGGAGAGCACAGCCCGGCTGAACCCTCTTCGAGCCCAGGCTTGTTCAGCTGCTGATGGTGTCTAGCTGGCCATCAAGGCCACCACCTCCTCAGGGTCTCCAACGAGTCTGGAACCTCTCTGCTTACCCGGCTGCTTTTAGGACCCCCGTAACCTCAGACACAGCAGGCACAGGGCCGCGAGGCCGCGATGCCTTTACAGGCTCACAAAATGCTTTCATTTCTTTGAAAACCAGAGCTGGGGAAATGGACGTTACCCAGCCTGGATTATTTTTTCCTTTATACCGGCACAGTTGTAAAATAGGGCTTTGAATGTTTTTGTGGAGGCAAGAGCCCTGAAAGACAAACATGCCTGGGCCCCCCAAAAGTCATCACATGGTCATGGGCGTGTTTAACTGCTAGGAGCCCCTCCAGGCCTGTCGAGGTGAGTGTCTAAGGGAACTGCAGGGGAAGAAGGTCTGTTCTAGACCCAGATCGCTTCTCACCTTCCCAGGTGACCTGGATGAGGACGTCATTCCAGAAGAAGACATCATTTCCCGAAGCCAGTTCCCTGAGAGCTGGCTGTGGACCATCGAGGAGTTAAAAGACCCAGAGAAAAATGGGTGAGGCTGGGATGACACCCCCCCATTCAAGCCACCCCCGAGCCAGTTCCTACTGACACCCAGACAAGACCATGTAATTTGCATGCACCCATCCCTCTTTTCGGAATACCGTGGAACCCCATAACCCAGAGTTGGGCTCCTCCACGTGCCCACCCTTCTCCCCCCAAGTCTGTCTCTTGGGCCCCCTCAAACCTGTTGTCCCGCACCCCCACGTCTACTCCATCCAGAATCTCCTCGAAGACCATGAACGTGTTTTTGAAGGACTCCATCACCACCTGGGAGATTCTGGCGGTGAGCTTGTCCAACAAGAAAGGTGAGATGTGGTGGCCCCGCCCACAGGAGGCAGGACCCCAGAGCCCCTGGGCATTTTCCCCGCCCACCCGAACAGACCCTCTGTTTCTCTGGTGACTGACATTCTGTCCCCTGGTTACTGGGTGATATAGTCAGTGCTTTTTACTCTTTAAATTGATTTTATTTTTAGAGTAGTTTTAGTTTCACAGAAAAATCGAGCAGAAAATACAGAGGTTTCCTGTGTACCCCCTGCCTCCCCGCGCACAGCCTCCCCCACTGTCAACATCCCCCACAAGAGTGTGCATTTGTTACAGTCAGTGAACTTACACCGACACATCACCATCGCCCCAAGTTCATAGCTGACATCAGGACTCACTCTCCGATGTTGTACATTCTGTGGATTCGGACAAACGCACCATGACACGTTCACCATTGTAGTATCATACAGAATAATTTGCAACCGTATAAAACCTTTAAAGAGCTGATGTCGACACAATAGTGGGTAAAGCAATTAAGAAAAGATAAAAGAGGAAGCAAGATGAAACGGGGGATTGAAACACGGGTGGTCAGATTGTGAAACGTGGCAAGGTGTATGTGTCCCCTCGCTGCCGACCAGACCCGAGGAGGACAAGCTAAATGTGGATGGCTTTTAGGGAGGGCTGGGAGTTGGGTGAGGAAGGGGAGGCACTGACTTGGAGTGCACATTGAAGTGGGTGCCGAAAATGTCAGTCATCAAGGTAAATAATATTTTAGGGCAATAGTTTTTAAAAAATCAAAGCGAATGCAAAAAAAAAAAAAATCCAAATTTTAAATAGAGACCAGAGCCATGCCGACCCATACTGGAATTCGAGGCAAGAGGAAAGCTATGTGCCCCATACGCAGGTTTTATATACATTTTAAAGGTTAATTTTGTCCCAGAGCATTAAATTTGTCAAAGAGCTGGTGTATCAAAACTCACAACTTTAAGTGTAAATAATTTATTCATACCCAAGCCAGAATGTATTATACTCTATCAACATTTTGTTTTATTATTATTTATGATAAATTATATTTTATTATCATTTTACTTTCCCGGCTTTGAGATTTCCAAGATTTGCTTATCTTGTTTTTAGTGGAAGGAATCGAAATTGGCAGTTTCATTGAGCAAGGGATGATCTCAAGTGACGTCACATACACAGGGGCACATAGTTTTCCTTTGGTCTGAGACGCAGCACAGTTCGGCACGGTTTTAGTGGGTGGCCCTTATCCCCATTCCAAGGCAGAGCCTCTTCCTATTTACCTGTTGTAAATTTTCATTAGCAAAAAAATTCTTGCAGCTTGGAGAAAAAGAGTTGAAAGCCTCTGGTTAGATCTTGCCTCTCAAAGCCTGTTCCCTTGACCAGTAGCAGTCTGTTAAAGTAGCTTTACCTGCGAGTTCGTTAGAAATTCAGAACCGAGGACACCCCCTCCTGACCCACTGAATCACAGCTTGCCCTTTAACGCGACCCCCAGAACGTTTCCACGTTCCCCGAGGGACCATGTAATTTGCGGGCGTCTGTCCCGCACCAGCGTCTCCGGCCTCCGCCGAGGTCCTTCCAGGCTGTGCCCCTCGGCGGTAGGGCGCTTCCCCGTGCAGTGCAGGGTACTGAGCAGCCCTCATGGCCTCTACCCGCTAGATGCCAGGAGCACCCTCCGTCCCCAGTTGCGACGTCCAAAAATGTCCCCAGACCTTGCCAAACATCCCCTGGAGGACAGAATCCCAAGCAGCCTTTGGTTTTAGATTCTGCTCTCTGTGTCCTTCTAACATGTTCTCACCGTCACTGTCTTGCCAGGCACTGTTTCAGCTCTCTACATTTATCACGTTTAATGCTTACGACAACCTTATGAGGCTGCTACTGTTTCCTCCAACAAATGAGGACACTGAAGCCGGAGAAGGGAGGTGACTTGCCCCCAGTCACCCTTTCAGAAATCCCATCGCAGAGCTTCAGAATCAATATTTAGTGTCATAACCAGAGGAACTTGGAAATCTTAGACTCCTGAGCTATAGGAACTGAAGAGTCAGTTAAAAGCAGGGAGCTTCCTGATTCTAAGTGCCTGGCTTCTCCCAGGTCCTCCCTGGGCAACTGTGTGACCTTAAGCAAGTCACTCAACCTCTCTGTGCTTGTCCATAAACCGGGCGTGATAGATATAGTACCTACTCAAAGCGTTGGCAGGGTCGTTATGAGTTTATATGCGTAAAGCCCTTATAATAGTGCCTGGCACGTTACAAATGCTCATTGAGTCTGAGCCGGTATCAGAGTTGAAAGTCATTCCTTTTTCCGTTCTTTTCCCATCTCATTCAAAGAGAAAGCTAAGTCCAGTGCAAGGACGCCTTTACCTCCTCTCCATTTCTTGTTTCGCCTTTTTTTGTTTTGTTTCGTTTTTGTTTTAACAAATAGAGAGCAAATGCTCTAGCTTCCTGCAGGCGATGCGGATGAGCTGGTGGTTTAACAAACCCGTTTTGCTGTCCTCGAGGTCAACTCCTATTTATGTCTCAAGAAGCTGCTTTCTCACGTACGGCAGCGATATCAAATTAATTCTGAGTTTAAAAAAAAAAAGTGAAAACAAATAATAGGTAAGAAATAGTTCCAGTGACTATAGCAGACACCCCGAGAGCAACGAGTAAATGTAGGTTGGAAAATAAGGATTTCGTTCAAGCTTCTGAATATAATTTTTCTTTTGCCATTGAAGATTGAGCAAAAAAAAAAAAAATTCTTAGTGGATTTATTAGTGTAAGATTATTTTTAATATGATAGTGTTTTACAAATTTCACTTGCATGAGCACTTTGCTAAAATTTGATCTGGTAGCTGTAGCTGTTGTATCGTGGTAACCACTGCGTTTGACATCATTTTCACTCAGCGTGGGTCAAGGCTGTCCAGCAGAAATAGAGTGTGAGCCATATGCGTCATTTCAAATTTCCTGGTAGCCTCACGAAAGAGGAGTGGGTGAAATTGATTTCGGGAACATATTTTATTTCACCCAAATTTATTCAAAATAGTATCGTTTTCACATTTTGTAAAAATCTGCAAGACCACTATCACACCAATAGTAATGAATCCGTTAACATTTAAGAGTAATCTATTAGGGTCTCAACATTTGTAATGATTTCTTTTACTTCTATATGTGCTAAGCCTTCGAAATCTAGCATGTATTTTATACTTATAGGGTATCTCGATTAAGGTGTGAGTTTTTCGTTAGAAATACATCGATCTAGATTTCAGGATTCATTGAATTTACAGCTGAAAAAAGTAGATTGGCACACTCACGTTATTCCAAGCATACTTTAAAAAGTTTTCCAATTACCGAATTAAGCATTGTTTTTAAAATCGAGATATAATTTACATCCTGTATAAGTACGATTTCAGTGGTTTTTTAAAGTATATTCACAGGCGTTAGTTTTGAAGTTTAAATCTGAGTTAACTAAAATGAAATAAAAGTCGAAATCCAGTTCCCACTCCAGCTAGCCACATTTCAAGTGCCCAAGCCCACATGGGGCTTGGGGCTACCATTTTAGGGAGTGGAGATATGAACCTTTCAGTCAGCAGCTGGCCTGCTTTCCTCTTTCACGTCCATCTATGAGTAAAATTACAAAGAAAATGGAAACCACCGAACCGTGGCAACTGCCAGCTGTCACCACCACCTGTAATTTACCACCAGTAACATGGCTTAATCTACGGGCTTCTGCAAAGACAGGCTGAAGTCTGGACAGCTCCCGTGGTCAGGGTTAAGCCCTGAGACCCTGGAAGGAGCAGGAACTTGAAGCTGAACTTGGACCCTATCCAACCTGCCTACCCCCTACCCTCAACACTCCCATTGTTTCCCCTCCACCGGGCAGGGATCTGTGTGGCCGACCCCTATGAAGTCACAGTGGTACAAGATTTCTTCATCGACCTGCGACTGCCCTACTCTGTCGTGCGCAACGAGCAGGTGGAGATCCGAGCTGTCCTCTACAACTACCATGAGACGAAAAAGCTCAAGGTAGGTCCTGGGGGCAGCACAGACGTGGAGAGGGGCTTGGAGGGGGCGCCATGGCACCTGCCCTGACCTGAGACTCTCTCCCCATCAGGTGAGGGTGGAACTCCTCTACAACCCAGCCTTCTGCAGCCTGGCCACTGCCAAGAAGCGTCACCAGCAGGTTTTGATTATCAATCCCACATCCTCCTTGGCCGTGCCTTTCGTCCTCGTGCCCCTGAAGATCGGCCTGCAGGAGGTGGAGGTCAAGGCCACCGTCTTTGACTTCCTCCTCACCGATGGTGTCAAGAAGACTCTGAGGGTCGTGGTGAGTCTTTAGGGTACCTGCTTCCTGTCGTCCTTCAGGAAAGACTGCTCTTCCCCTCATGCTGTCTTCCCGGCTTGACGACCCAGGCTCTGAGACACTAGGAATGTCCAATGTCCAGCTCGGGCAGCTTAAGGGCCCTCAAAGTTCAAAAGCAGGGCCACAGTTAGTGTGAGTCAAGTGAGACATTCTCCTTGGGCATGAAATTTTAAGGGGGTGCCCCAGACCTCGGGAATAAAAGTCAATAATATCTTTTTATTTAAATATATTTTAACATCAAATATAATATTTTGTAAGACATTTCAGTATAGGAGTTTTCTTTTGACTTTAAAAATCTTGGGAAAATAAGTTTCAAAGACCAGATGTTATAAAGTAATAACATATGATGCGAGAACATGAAAAAGTTCTATTTTTACCCTTAAAATATATGTTAACAGTGATATTTCTACTCTTTCTCACAGTGTGGAGAACTTTCAAATATAATAGAATCATCAATAAAAAGGCTTTTATTATCTTTTATTAATATTTTAAAGCAAAATGTGAAATCCTAAACAAGACCGCTAATATTTGAATGTAATTGTTTAAGAAATCAAAATTAATGCTTAAAAAATCTGCGATGAACAAAACATCAAAATTTTAAATAGAGATGGGATCTAAGAGCGTCCAGCCAGGCAATATTGGAGCCTGAAACAAAAGGAAAAATGAATGCCCCGCAGACCTGCCTCTGTATTTTTTATGGTTAATTTCCCTCCAAATTGATAAAGCGGTTGAAAAAAATCTTTGAAACACTATAAGGAAATGTGTTAAAACTGCCAGTGTGGTTTTATGTTGAAATGTTTCATTTATACCCACACCAGAATTTATTAAAAAGTTTCACTCCTGGCTTTAATGAAAACACACCCATATTTTTTTCAACTACGTAATGTTCAAGAATAACATCGCCATGAAAAATAAATTGAAATATCGATATAGGGCACACATATTTTCTTTCACCTCGGGTGGGAAGAAAATGCAGCGGGGTGCCAGAGCCTTCGTGGCCAGCTGCGCCCGTGTCTTCCCAATCCCGCACTTACTGACACCCGCAGCCTGAAACCCGTCAAGGTGAGGACATTTACGTCGAGGAAATTGACAGCGCTCTAAGTCAGGATGGTTTTCTTCCCCGGGGAGCTGGATGCTAGATATTTACGAGCACACCATGGGAGGAAACCCAGTCTGCAAAGGAAAATCTGGGCATTGTTACCAGGTGAAAGGAGAGTGGATTCTGGGAAGGCAAAAACAGCCCCTGTCCACGAGAAAGATTTACCTGAAGACATGGGAGAGCTGGAGTTGGGCCTTTGGTATTACGATAGCTCCTGATTTAATGGAGCACTTACTGTGTGCTGGACACTGTGCCAAGTACTCGTGCACAATGTTTTATTTTACTCTGTCATTTACTTTTTTATTATTTTACTTTGTGGATTTATTATTTTAATCATTTATTTTAAAATGTAATTTCATTTTTTTACGTATTTTCTTTTTCTTTCCTATTTATTTTGTTATTTTACTTCATTTGTTATTTCTATTTTTAAATTTTACTTTATAATTTAATTTTCTAAAATCTATTTCATTTTTATTTTGTTTAACCTACTGAGAGGCACAGAATTGAAAACAGACTCTGGACCCAGACTACCAGGTTCAAAGCCCAGTTCTGTACTACTGGCTGTGTGACTCTGGGCAAGTTACTTTCCCTCTCTGTTCTCCAGTTTCCTCAACCTGAAAATGAGAGCGATAATAGTGATACCCACCTCGCTGGGTTGTTGTGAGTATTAAATGAGTTAACCTGAGTAAAGAAAACTTCTAGGGACATGAGAAGATTTCTAAAGGCTTCGTTACTTCATTATTATTAATCTATAATTTTGTCATTGATTTGCACAGTGATATGCGGTAGATGTTTGTATTGCCTCCTTATAAGGAAGGAAGCTGAGGCACAGAGAGGTTAAGTACCTGGCTCCCAGTCACACAGCTAAGATTGGGCAGATGCCATCAGGTCTACACTACAGTAATCCCCAGAGCAGTGCCCTGCTGACCAGCTGTCTGTCCGTCTGTCCTTTTATTCACTCATCTTCTTCTTTTCTCAACACCGTCCAGCCAGAAGGAATCAGAATCAACAAAACTGTGGCCGTTCACACACTGGATCCACAAAACCTGGGCCAGAGTGAGTCAGCCACAGGAGAGGCGCGTGGCCGGGTGGGGATGGGGGGGGTGGCAGGAGTGGGCCGGTGCCATTGGTGTCTCCCATTCGACTGACAGATGGCGTGCAGCGAGAGGAGGTCCATGCTGCAGACCTCAGCGACCAAGTCCCAGACACGGAGTCGGAGACCAAGATCCTCATTCAGGGTGAGATGCCCTTGGGCCAGCCCCATGGGGCCTAGGAAGGTGTCAGGTGACCCCCAAGAAGGAGGCCAGTTCCATCTAATTCTGGGAATACTTAACCATGGTGCCTCTCTCCTTCGCTTCAGCTAGAATAGTCTCTCCTTGATCTGTTGGTACACGGCTCCAGGTAGTATTCAGTTCGGCAAATAGCTTTACTGATAAGGAAATTTAAATGAGAAGCAATAGAGTTCAAGAGCAGAAATTCTGGAACTAATTGCCCAGGATGGAGGGCTGGGGGAGACAGGGCAGGAAGGAGCTGGAAAGGCGCCTTTCACTTGTGAGCTGTAAGGTTTGGGGGAGACACTTGGTTTCCTCATCTGTGATGAAGGTGAATCCGTGGGATCTGTATCTAAGGACTGTTGGGAGGATCAGATGAGGTGCCATACAGTGTTCTCTCGGAACAGAGCTTGGCAGATAGCTTCACGCATTATATAAGTATTCATGACATTGTTCCTGGAATTATTTTACCACTGGTAAAACAAGAGGGCCCAGGGACAGCGCCCCAGCTGCCCCTGACTCTTTGGCCCTGGCTGGTGAGAGCCTGGGAACTCTGTGGGCAGCTCCTACCCTCCTCACCCCGTGGCGGGTCTCCTTGCTTGAGCACCGTCCTTTCCCTTGGCTGCAGGGACCCCAGTGGCCCAGATGACAGAGGACGCCATCGATGGCGAGCGGCTGAAGCACCTCATTGTGACGCCCTCGGGCTGCGGGGAGCAGAACATGATCGGCATGACCCCCACGGTCATCGCAGTGCACTATCTGGACCAGACGGAGCAGTGGGGCAAGTTCGGCCTCGGGAAGCGGCAGGAGGCCCTGCAGCTCATCGAGAAGGGTGCGTCCCCCGCCCCTTCCGGAAAAGCCCCTCTGAGCCCCTCTCTGAGCTCTCTCCTCCCCTGAGACCGCACCCCCTCTCAAGGTCCTACCCCTCCTCTCGGGCCTCCTGCTCTCCCCTCTTTGAGACCTTGGCCCCTCACCCCTTGGATCCCCTCTCTAGGCTCCCTCACTCGCCAAGGCCCCCTTGCCCCTGAACCCACTTGAGAACCCTCGCCTCTCTGAACCCCCTCTCCTCTGAGAAGTCCTTACCTCTCCTCTGGTCCCCCCCGCCCTCTCAGAGTCCCTCTCCCCTGTAAGCTGCCCTCCCTTCCAGACACCCCTCCCAGTCCCGAGCCCCTCCTTCCTCTTCCCGCCGCCGTCCTGCCTTTCGCAGACTCCTCCCCGCTCTCTAAGTCCCTCTCCCATCTGACACACGCGCACCAACCACCAACTCCCGCTCCCGCTCCTCTGGTGACACTTCTCTGCTCCCGCAGGGTACACCCAGCAGCTGGCCTTCAGACAACCCAACAAAGCCTTCGCGGCCTTCCTGGGCCGGCCATCCAGCACCTGGTGAGCTTGCCTGCCCTTTGTCTTGCACGCCCCTGGGAAGGGATCTGGATCCCAAGCTTGGGGTGGTCTAGACTGGCCCCCCCAATACAGCAGTGTGGGGAGGACCCCTCCACCCACAGAGTCAAGGCACCCACTGGCTAAGTGACCTACGGTCGTTAAGCACTGCCTGCATGCAACGCGGGGCACATCCAGCTGGACCTTCCCCTCTCTGCTCATTGGCTGGGTGGGATGGCAGTCTCTGGATCCCAGAGCTGGTTGGCTCATTTTCTGTGCCCACCTCCAGGCTGACAGCCTACGTGGTCAAGGTCTTCTCTCTAGCGGCCAACCTCATCGCCATAGACTCTGAAGTCCTCTGTGGGGCTGTCAAATGGCTGATCCTGGAGAAGCAGAAGCCCGATGGAGTATTCCAGGAGGATGGACCCGTGATACACAAAGAAATGATTGTAAGAGGCAGGAATTCAGGCCAGACTCGGGGAGAGGGAGTCCTGAGTGTCACGGAATGGACAAGAGAAAGTACTCCATCTGCCATTTGCCCAATTTACTGTGTTGTTGGGGTGCGGGGTTGGGGGGGGCGGTGCGGAACAGGGAAGTAAATGAGTTGTCAGAATCGTTCCTCCTTTGCAAAAACCAGAGACTTGTGGAGTCCACTACAAAATGAGAGTTCCTTGGCTCCCCATTGCTTTGAGAATAATCCCAGAACTCCTTAGAGTTGTGGTTCTCAAAGTGTGGTCCCCAGGCCAGCAGCGTCAGCATCACCTGCAGACTTGTTGGAAATGAATGTTCTTGGGCTGGAGCCCAGGTGCACTGAATCAGAAACTTTAGGGATGGGGCCTAGGAATCAGTTTTAATAAGCCCCCACCCCAAGTGATGTCGATGTGTGCTCAAGCTGGAGAATTGCTGCCTCGGCCCGATCTTTCATATTTTCACATTTGAGCCTCACTCTATCCAGCCACGGGGCCTTTGCACATGCTGTCCCCACTGCCTGGCGTGCTGAATCCTACTCACTCTTCAGATCGTGGCCCCACTTGTCATCCTTCGGGAACACTCTTCCCAACCTCCCTGCCTGAATCACACTCCCACTGTCCATTCTCACTGGCACGTCCACTTCTCCTGCATGGCACTCATCAGTTTGTAATGATACATCTGTTGACAAGCTGGCTGGTTCACGGCTGTCTCCCCTACTAGATAGGGAGCTCCATGAGGGCTGGGGCCAGTGTCTGGTTTTTGTCAACCATTTTATCTATAGCACCAACATTTGCAGAATGAGTGAATGAATGAATGAGTGAATGAATACTAGAGTTTGGCCCTCCTGTGAGACACTGGGTAGCGAGCCAGCCCTGCTCTGACTCAATGATCCTACAGGGGGGTTGGTTGGCATGTGGGGACGTACTGATGACCTCATCCTTGCTTCCTGCTCCGCATCCTAGGGTGGATTCAATCATGCTGAGGAGAAAGACGTGTCCCTCACGGCCTTCGTTCTCATTGCACTTCAGGAGGCTAACGATATTTGCGAGGGACAGGTCAACGTAAGTGTCCCCCGTCCGTTCGCTCCTCTCTCCTACCCAGGGCACATCCACTTTGGAGATTTCGTAATCATCCCACGTCTTGGGGTTTTGAGAGTAGGTGTTTGACCTTTAGCTTCCCAAGTGAGGAACCCCAGGATCCCACCTTCGGCCAGCTGCTTCTCCCTCCTCAGGACCCCAGAAAAGAGATGGCAGGGAGAAGGCTGTTACCTTTAGTGGCCGAGAGGAACCCAGACCTTTCTGATTTAAAGCTCGCAGATTTGAAAGAAATTTTGGTAGAAATGAGGCAGCTCTAGGGCTGTGGCGTCAGGTAGATCTGACTTGAGATCCTGACTCTCAGGTACTTCCCCTCGCTGGGTCTCAGTGTGTGCATCTGTAAAACGGGTATAATAACTTTGTATTTTTTAGGACTCTAAGTTGTTCTAGATGTAACACGTGTGACCTAGGTTATGCAAAAATCGATGGGAGAATTATTTTAAGGGTCCAAGAATTTATCAAATGAAAAAAATGCAAGTGGTTTGGGGACTCTTCCAGGATGCCTTATTCCCCTCTGTGGTGTCCTTCATTCCCTCCTGGCACAGTCATTCAGCTTTCCCCGCCACTCGGCCAGCCTGGCGGAACATGGCTTGCCTTCCTTGGGGAAATAGCCAGAGCAAGGTTCGAGTTTTCAGATTCCCCGGGAAGGATTCTGGTTGCCTCAGTTGAGTCAGGTGATCACTTCTGAACCAATCAGCTTAGACCAAGAAGTAGGCCTTACTGGGCCAATATGGCTGCTTCCACTGTGGCCATTGGATGAAAGGGAGGAAGAGAGGTTTCTACAAAAGTCAGGGGTGGGTGCAGGAGAGAGCCTGGCAGGCAAAAGGATTCGTTTCTACTACAGCATAGCAACCTCATAACAGGATATAGCATAGGCTGTGGAACCAGACTGCTAAGGTTCGAATCAAGAATGTGCTAGAACGTACTTGAGAAAAATGATTGTTACTATTCCAGGAACTTTTCAAGCTGGTCGTTAAATACAATTGTTATTAAACATTAAATTATAAATTTAAATAAATTCGACTAAACATTAAACATAAAACAAAGATAATAAACACTCAAAACTCACCATTTCTTATTTTACTAACTTTTATCATTATCTGTGCTCTCCAGGTTATTTATATCTGTCATACCTGTATGATGGACATATTACATAATAGTGTGCTATTACCCATTTCTTCCAAACTCTACATTCAGTGATGCCACATTGGTAGGTTGAAGTTGGCCATGGTAGCATTTACACTATGAAAATCAGCACACACTACAAATCATGTCTGCCTCCAGCCCTCAGTTCTCAGTGTCTCGGTATTCTCATCTGTGCAGTAGTCATGATGATGAAATTCATACCTACCTGGTAAGATTTAAATAAGTGAATCTGTGACTGGCACAGAGTGTTAGCTATGATTGATGATGATGGTGATGATGATGATGATGGTGATGATGACGACGACGACGATGATGATTAGATAAGAGTGGTCCCAGGGGTATGCCAGCTCGTTCTAGCTCATGAGTGCCTATTCGAGGTGTCTCTTTCTCACGCCATGTCCAGGTACATCATCACATTGGTAGCTTGAAGTTGGACGTGATGGGAGTATTTGCACCACAGTAATTAGTGATCTATAAACCAGCCCCCCACCACTGAGTAGAGAACTGGTTATTAAACATTTATCAGCACATTACTGGGTATATAGACTGCACCAGGCACAGGGTAGGTACTCAGCAACAGAGCAGTTCATGGTGGCTAAAATGTCTGAGAGAGCCTTAAAAATAGATCCAAAACAGAAGTGTCCCAAGGACGGAAACCTTGTGCCTAGGAAGTGGTGTTTATGTGACCCTTATCGGCTCTTTGTGACAGCAGTGCCCACTACACCAGAGCACCCAATCTTCTTTCTCGTAGAGCCTGGGGGCCAGCATCAACAAGGCAGGAGACTTCCTTGAAGCCCAGTACGACAACTTGCAGAGACCATATAGTATAGCCATTGCTGGCTACGCCCTGGCCCAGTTGAACAAGCTGAACGGCCCTCTCCGGGACAAATTTCTGGACGGTGCCACAGGTGAGGGGCGACCTCGTGGCAGTAAGGGGAGGTTCATGGCTGAAGTTTGAGGGTGGCCATCTTGAGCTGGTATGCATGGCTCTCAGCTGTGCTTGGATAGACAGCTCCAAGCTCAGCTAGGGTGGATGACACTAAGCCGAGCTGGGGCAGGTGGCTGCAGGTGTGAGAAGTCCTCATTGTAAATGACACAAGAAGATCCACTGCATCCTTCAACAAATGCGTGTTGAGCACCTGCTGTCACACGTGGGCTCTGACATCAGATAGATTCAGATCCCATTCTGCCGCATTCTCACTGTGAGACCTTGTATGGTTCACTTAACCTGTCTGGACCTTGTGTTTAATATGGTACCTACATCACAGGGTGACTGCGAAGATTAAATGGGCGATGCCGGTAGAAGATCTACCACACAGTAAAAGAGCTATCACTGATGTTGTTACTGCCTTTAGTATTGTTAATGACATTATCATTATCTCGAGGGTAATTAGGATTAGACAAGATGATGGTGTAGGGATTTTAGCACAGTGGGTAGCATAGAGTGAGCACTTAATCATCAGTTACAGTGACGACACCGTATCGGGTTTATACTCACTGATGTAACATATCTGAACGTACACTGAAGTGGTTTAACAAGAGAAGTTGGTCTGTTGCCGTGTAAGAGCACAGTGTGGGTGCCCCGAGTTGGTAGAAAGCTCTCCTCCATAAGCAATGCAGTGATCTAGGCTCCGTCTTCTCATGGCTCTGCTACCACGGGGCTTCAGAACCATTCCGTCTACGCAGAAGGAGAAACAGGCATGGAAGGGGCCCCTTTGGCCAGAGCTCAGTCGTGTGGACGTACCTACCTACAAAGGCATCTGAGAGATATAGTCCACTGTGCGCCCAGGAAGAGGAGAAAATGATTCTTGGTGGCAGTCTCTGCCAAAAGTACTTTCTCAGGCACTTGGGACATCACAGTGAATATGGCACAGCCCCTGCCATCGTGGCCTGACACTCCGGTTGAGGAAAGAAACGAGTTAACAGACTTCTGTAGATCATCATAGTGCTAGAATGGGAGAAGCGCAGGATGCTCTAGGTAAGAATTAACCAGGAGTGGATGGAAAAAAGGTGCTCCGAACAGAACAGAATACGCAAAGGCTCGGAGGTAAGAATAGCTGGCGAATTAGGAAATCTCTCGTAGATCAGCAGAGCCGTAGTCAGAATTCAGATGGAGGAGTGAAGGTTGATCAGGGGAGAGTGAGGCAGGAACCAGCAGATTGAGGTCCTCGAATATCGGGCAGGAGACCTGAGTACCAAGAGTCAAATATGAATCTTTTCTCTAAGATTTCTCTGAGCTATTGCCAGGCTGGACAGAGCGGTGAGTACATGGGCTGGTGTTCTCTCTGCAGAGAGGAACCGCTGGGAGGAGCCTGGCCAGAAGCTCTACAACGTGGAGGCCACATCCTATGCCCTGTTGGCCCTGCTACTGCTCAGAGACTTTGACTCTGTGCCTCCCGTCGTGCGCTGGCTCAATGAGCAGAGATACTATGGCGGTGGCTATGGCTCCACCCAGGCAAGTGGTCCCACATGCCCCAGGCAACTGCACCCTTACCTCCTCTGGCCTTCCAGTGGCCTCCCAGACAAGAAGCTGAGACCAAGAGAGGCAGTTAATTGGAACGAAGTTGAGAAATCAGATTTTTTAGTTGCGAATCTACCTGTGGGTTCTGGACTGCCTTCTGGATGCCCCAGGCTGTATTCCGAGTCCTCTTCCCCTCCTGATGTCTAGATCGTGTTCTCGGGCACAGGCTCAGGCGTGAGCCTCTCCCTGCTGGGTTCTAGACCATGTTCCCGGTTCTGCCGGCCTCCTCCTTATTTATCCTATCTCACCAGTGGATTCTAGACCAGGAAATTAACCAAGTCCCTCTGGCCCTCTGCTGGATTCTAGACCATGCTCTCAGGTCCGGCGGGCTCCCCGTCTTACCTGTCTTATTTCAGGTTACACCCCATGTTCTGTTATTCTAGGGCATTATCCAGGCCTCTTTCTCCCTCCTGAGTTCCAGACCATGCTTTCAGCAACCTCAAGCTGTAGCAACCTCGGGCTCCGGTTGGAGTACTGATCACTCTCAGTGTCACTCTTGGGTTCTAGATGATATGCTTAGTGTCCCCAGGCTCCAACTTTTTTCTTTTTTCACAAGTGGATTCTAGATCCATTCTCAGTGCTTCCAAATCCTTATCTGAGACCGTCTTCTCCAGATGGGTCTAGACCACATTCTCACATTGCTAGACCCTCAGTCTTACACTTGCACTTTCTGACGGATTCTAGACGTGTTTTCCGTGTCGCCAAGCTCTGGCCTAAGTCTCTGTCCCTTGGAGAACATGTCTTTAGTGTCCAGTGACGCCCAGTCTTATCCTGGTGTTCTCTGGTGGGTTCTAGGTCATAGTTTTAGTGTCACCAAGCCCTGGTCTGAGCTTCCCTCTCAGAGAGTTCTAGAACGTGTCCTCCATATCCGCCAAACCCAAGTCCAGTGGGATCTAGGTCACAGTCAGTGCCCCAGCTCTGATCTGAGCCTCTTCGCCCCCATTGGGTCCTAACCACTTTCTCAGTCTCCCAGGTCACCCTTTTTCTCGCTCACGGGTTCTAGGCCACTTTCATGGTGTTCCAAGCCTTGGCCCAATACCAGAGGGATGTCCCTGCCCACGAAGAGCTGAATCTGGATGTGGCCATCAACCTGCCCAGCCGCAGCTCTCCAATAGAGCACCGCATCTACTGGGAATCCGCTAGTCTCCTGCGGTCAGAAGAGGTACAACTGCCCAGACAAACCCTCCTCGTTCTCATCTTCGTGCTAGTCGGGCCTGCAGATGACCATCGCAGCGAGGGAAGAACTTAGTTCCCAACACCCTCTATTTTCTCTCTCCACTCCCTGCAGACCAAGGCAAATGAGAACTTCACAATAACGGCTTCAGGGAAAGGACAAGGCACTTTATCGGTAAGAAAGAGAACTCGCACCTACTCGGCTCACTGCCAAAAGGGACCCTCTCTTTCCCAAGTTAAGTAAGCTGACACCTTGTCTCCTCTCCCATCTCACCAGGTGGTGACAATGTACCACGCCAAGATCAAAGGCAAAGTCACCTGCAAGAAATTCGACCTCAGGGTTAACATACGACCAGCCCCTGAAACAGGTAGAAGCAATAAAGACTCTGTCACCCTTCCGCCACTGCCATTCTAGCGTCAGCTGCCCTCCTGCCCACTTCATCCTTCTGTCTTCTCTGTTTCTAGTCAAGAAGCCTCAGGATGCTAAGGACACCATGTTCCTTGAGCTCTGTGCCAAGTAAGAGATGAGTCACTGGAGTGCATCTTGGCCATCCTTCTGTCTCTAGCAAGACTTCTTATAAGTAATATCTGTGGTACTTAATACTTTCTGGAAATGTATCATGTGGCTACCGTTGTGCCAAGTACCCACCGCGGGGTAGATAGCACAGGCAGTCCTTGCTTCGCATGGCAGTGGGAGACTAGCCATGACCACATAAGCCAAGACTGTGCAAAGTGATCTTAATAATCGATGAGGGAAATTACGATTGTCTCAGGACTTTTAAATTTTGTTCACCACATCGTTAAAAACTCTCATACTGCCAATTATAAAGATATAAATGAAAAACATAGTATGATGAGCATTCGTTTAGTGCACTGTAATTTAAAACACTAGAACATTGAAGATCAAAGGTGGTTTTGGTTTGTTTTTGTTTTTGTTTTGCAAAGCACTTACCTAGGTGCTGTGATTTGAAAGTCCTCCTCCCTGTGTAACTTAAGATATGGAGCAAGCGTCTTTTATATGACGCCTTGCATTGTCAAATTCTCCTCTGAATTTGGGTCAGCTTCCAATATTTAATTTTCGGGGCTTTCAACGTCATGAGGTACTTGAGAGTTCCTTTGCTGTGAAGTTTTTCAAAGTGGGACATCTTCGTTTTGGGGGCACAACCAATTTCCTCATTTATGGCAATGTGCTTGCCTTCGCTGAGTTCCTCCGGCCATGTGGCTGGTCCCTCCGACGGCAGCAGGGTCCACATTCCTAGGCTTTGCTATTCCTCCTCTCGATTCCATTTATGTGCTATTGAAATTTTACTCTCAATATTACCACCCTTCATTTCTTTGTCACACTTCCATCTTTGTTGGGCAGTCCCTTCTTTCGATGAACCATTTTGATAAAATGTCACATGGGTTTTTCACTGGGAGAGAAGAAAGTACCACATGCTTTGCTATCTGTGTAAGACCTGAATGATGGATGCTCAGTCACCTGTCACTGACAGACCTTGAAGGAAGTGATGTGGTTGGTCATTGATTGTGATGGGCACCTGCTATTTCCATAGTGATCGTGGACTGAAGAGCTAGCACCGAGATTTGTCCTTTAGGCAATTACTTGCCATTGGTATGCCGTGGTACTAAAATTAGAACTGTGTTGCTGGGGGACTAGTGTTATTGAGTTAGACCATCGTAATGGAATCATGCAAAGTGAGACCTGCCCATAGTCTTGTCTTCATTTTCGAGAGATTAAGTGACTCATCAGATGTTACGTAGAGCTGGAACTTGAACCCATGCAATTGGGCTCCAAAGCTTGATCGATTCGTCACCTTGACCATTATGCTACCTTTCCTTTATCCCACTTGGGGAAGTGTTTTATAAGACTTAACATCACTCTATGCTGCTGTGTGGGAACCAGAAGCCTCGGTCCCTGATCAGACCCCCTTGTCCAGGTACTGACCCCCAGGGCTGACCCCACCTGGGACTCAACCCCTGTTTCCCTGCCCCGTCCAGGTACTTGGGAGACCAAGATGCCACTATGTCCATCCTGGATATATCCATGATGACGGGCTTTTCTCCTGACATTGATGATCTCAAGCTGGTATGAAGGTCTTGGGTTGGACAGCTGGGGTAGGTGGGAAGGAGCCTGGGGTCTGGAGGAAGCTGGAGGGAGGGAAGGTGATCCATGAGGGGTTCTCACAAGCCCTGCCCTCTCCAGCTGAGCACTGGCGTCGACAGATATATATCTAAGTATGAGCTGAACAAGGCTGTCTCCAATAAGAACACCCTCATCATCTACCTGGACAAGGTAAGGCTTCTAGTGGGATCTTGGCCTGTACCTGGCTGGCCTTTTCCTTCTCCACCGGTCTTTGTCTTAGAGTCTTCTGCTGGATCCATTATTTCTAATTTCTAGAAGAAAAGAGGATTATGCATGAAATGCGTTTTTAAAATTTTTTTGTATTTTAATTTTTGTATTTTTAATTTTTAAATGTAATTTCAACCTTTACAGAGAAATTGTAGAGCAGTATAGAAAAGTTTCATATATCTTTTACCCAGATTCACTAATTGTTAGCAGTTTTCTCTAAATATACATGTCTGGCACATATTACATACACATGTCTGTCTGTCTTTTTTTCTTTCTCATTTATTTTTTTCCAGCTTTATTGATATATAATTGACATGTGCCATTGTGTAAGTTTAAGGTGTATGAGGTAATGATTTGATATATGTATATATTCAGAAATGATCACCACAATAAGTTTAGTTAGCACATCGATCACGTCATATAGTTATAATGTGTGTGTGTTGAGAACTTTTAAGATTTACAATCTTAGCAACTTTCAAATATACAGTGAAGTATTGATAACCCTGGGATGCTTATATGAGCATAGATAGCAATCTGGTGACTAGAATTTAGTTGCACAGCCACACCAATTGAAAGAGAGGCTGAGAAATATAATCTAGCCATGAACCTTAAAGAAAATAGATTTGTTGAACTGCTCGTAAATCTTTGCCACCTCCTGCCCCCCGTGCTTCCCCCAGGTCCCTCCTTGATTCCCCCATTTCTCCACCATCACCCCAACCCCCATTCTCATGTCACCCACTGACCAACCTCCTCCCATGTCACCCACCGACCAACCTCCTCCTTCCCCCAGATCTCGCATGTCTACGAAAACTGTCTGTCCTTCAAAGTTCACCAGTACTTTGATGTGGGGCTTATCCAGCCTGGGGCAGTCAAGGTGTACTCCTATTACAACTTGGGTGAGAAGCCAACCTCAGGCCTGGGGTCTGAGGGTCCCAGGGATCTGTGACTTGGGGGTCTAGGGGTCCCAGGGATCTGTGACTTGGGGGTCTGGAAGGGTCTTAGGGTTTGGGACCTAGCCATTCCAAGTCTGAGGGACTGGAGTCAGGAACCTGAGCCCCGTAGGCATGGTCTTGGGTGGAGGCCCAGGCCTCTCACCCTTCCCCCTCTGCCCACAGATGAGACATGCACCAAGTTCTACCACCCGGAGAAGGAGGAAGGAATGCTGAGCAAACTCTGCCACAATGAAATGTGCCGCTGTGCTGAGGGTGGGTTCACAGGGGCCAGGAAGTGGTGGACCACACCCACTGGGTCTTCCACTTCCATAGGGGTGACCCAAGGGGCCCCAAAAACCCATACCAAACGGACACCAAGAAGGATGGGCCTGGGGCTGGCCACACCCGTGAGTGGAGGGCCCTGGGCAAGAAATGGGACTTATACCCCCACCCACTCACCCCACAGAGAACTGCTTCCTGCATCAAGTGGATGACAAGATCACCCTGGAGGACAGGCTGGACAAGGCCTGTGAACCAGGAGTGGACTATGGTGAGTGTTCAGGTGTGATTGTATGTAAGCATCAGTGTATGTGGCTGTGGTTGTGTGTGTGATACTGTGTAATGGCAAGTGTGGTCATGCTTGTGTGTGTGACTGGCTGTGAGTGATCACGGCTGCATGTGGCTGTGCTTTAGGCTGTGGTTGTGGGTGACTGGTGTGTGTGTGTGTGTGCGCTGTGAGGGGCCATGATTGCGTGAGATGGTGACATTGGATATGAGTAGCTGTCCTTGCATATATGATGAGTTGCAAGTGGCTGAATTGTGCGCATGGCTGTGTGTGCAGCCATGTGAAATGGCAGTTGTATGACTGTATGTGGCTGCATGTATGACTGGGGGAGAGGCAGAGACTGTAGCACGACTGGGGGGAGGTAGGGACTGTAGCACGACTGGCTGTGATCCCACACGTATCTGCTTGAGGTAACCCATACGCCCAGGTGCGCTTGCAGGTAGGGTGCCCCGCGGTCAACCCTGCCCATGACTCACATTGTCCTCCCACCTCAGTGTTCAAGGCCAGGCTGCGCAAGAAAGAGCTGTCAGATGACTTTGACGAGTACATAATGGTCATCGAGCAGGTCATCAAATCAGGTCAGCTGTGTACCCTGTGTTCTGTCTTCTGCCCCCGCCACATTCCCGGCTCAGCTTCTCCTTCCTTCCCCTCCAGGCACCGATGAGGTGCAGGATGGACAGGAGCGCAAGTTCATCAGCCACATCAAGTGCAGAGAATCCCTGAAGCTGCAGGAAGGGAAGCACTACCTCTTCTGGGGCCTTTCCTCAGACCTGTGGGGAGAGAAACCCAAGTGAGTGCAGCCCTGACTGTGCATGTGCTTGCCCCGCACCTCTTCTCTGGCCCCCGCTTACCTGCCCTCCGTTTCTCCCAATAGCATCAGCTATATCATTGGGAAGGACACCTGGGTGGAGCTGTGGCCCGATGCTGAAGAATGCCAAGATGAGGAGAACCAGAAAGTGTGCAATGAACTGGCCAACTTCACCGAGAACATGGTTGTCTTTGGCTGTCCCAACTGACCCCCCATCACTGTCCCCACCAATAAAGCTTCTATTGTATTTCACTTCTATCCCAAAGACTGGAGGTCTTCGAGAGAGGGAAAAAGGCAGCTGTGGTCTTCGGTTGCCTCATCTGCATCTCAGCTCCGATCTTACCTGAAACCTCAAAAGAAAAAAAAAAAGGGAGGGGGAATGGAAAAACATGGTGGAGTGAAAGACATCCTCAGATCTCTCCCCTTGAAACAACAATAAGCCGGACATCTAAAACTGAACAAAAAACACTCGAACTACACACCAGCACATCTGAGTGCGACATCTGCACATAAGAGCTACCACAAGTCAGAACCTCAGGTGTTGGGAGGTGGACTGGGACAAATAAAGAAGCTGCCTCTTGCAGCCAGTGGAGCTCCCTGTAGGAGGAGGGGGTGGAGAGAAGGAACAGTGAGTTCCCTGAACAGCCCTGCCTGGGAAAGTCGTGAGCTCCCCGTAGCTGGCCAACAGCAGGGCCCAGTCATCAGGGCAGAAGGCAGAGAAGCGGGACGGCAGAAAAACAGTTGATTTTTACCAGCTGTGGTTACAAAACCAAGGCTGAGCCACAGCCCCCACCACTCAATCCAGAGGGACCCTCCACTCCTGCCCTCCGAGACCAAACACCATGGAGCCCCAGGGGAAACTGAGCAAACGCTGCCAAGACTGTCGCTGACACCGACAGGGACTGAAACTGAGGATAGCGATTAAATATCTACAAGAAAATTAAAAAGGCATTATTTAGGCTTTATATAAAGCAGGGATCCAAGAGGCTTAGATGCCACCTACTGGAAACCAAGAGAAAAGTGCCTTCTTTGCAGCAGGCTAAAGAGAGACCTTTATATATAATAAATCTTTCAGGAAAAACAGCAGAATACACTTCCATAAATGCCCACGTGGAGAAATAGTCCATTAAACACCATGAACAACCAAGGTGACAAGGCATCTCAGAAAGAAAGAGAAAAATCTTCAGAAAATAAGCTTACAGACATGGAAATATGTGACTTAAATGACAGAGAATTCAGAATGGTACTTCTGAAAAATCTCGGTAAGTTCCTAAATGAGCCATCACCAATTTCAGGAATTGAAAAAACAACTAGATGAGCAGACAAGGAGACCAAAACCCTCAAAGATAACCAAATAGAACTTCTGGAGATTAAAAAAACACACTACAGGAGTTGAAAAATGAAATAGCAAGCTTGGGAAATAGAGTCGACCAAATGGAGGAAAGGATCAGTGATATTAAAGACAGAAATCTAGAAATAAATCAGGAGAAAGAAGAGAGAAATGAAAGAATGAAAAATAATGAAAGAGAAATACAAGAACTAGCTGATACCATCAGGAGAGGAAACATAAGAATAATGGGCATTATTGAAGGCAAGGAAAAGAAGCAGGGACTAGAAAGCATTTTCAGACAAATAGTGGACAAGAATTTCCCAAACCTAAGGAATGAGCTGGAGCTTGGAATTCAAGAAGTCAACAGGACACCCAGGACAGACTTGGGAAATTTGTATCTCAACCCAAAAAGGCCTTCACCAAGACACATTGTACTAAAGTTATCAAAAATCAACGACAAAGACAATTCTCAGGGCAGCCAGGGAGAAGAAAAAGGTAACTTATAAAGGAAAACCCATTAGATTATTATCAGACTTCTCAGCGCAGACCTTACAAGCCAGAAAGGAGTGGAATCCAATATTTAAACTATTAAGTGAAAGGAACTACCAGCCTAAAATAACATATCCAATTAAGCTCTCCTTTAGATATCAAGGAGAAATTAAGACCTTTTCAGACATACAAAAATTGAGGGAATTCTCTACTACGAGGCCTACACTACGGGAAATACAGAAAGGAGTCAGATCACCTAAAACAAAATGACAAAACACACACACACACACTCACACACACAAAATTAGGAGTAAAGTGACTATCAGGTAAACAGAAGCAGAGGAGTGCAATCCTTACTAAGAACAGGGCATGATAAGCTTGAATAATAAGAAGAGAATTGCTATAGAAAGATAGTAATGAATGTTCAGCATACATAAGGACAAATTGAGATAACAATGACTGAAAAGGGGA